AATATCATTAAAATACTTTGACGATTCTCTGTCGGTGGAGCAGCTGATTCTGTGGTGGTGCTCGCTCAGAGATCGGAAACACTTCTGAAAACTGTCGTCAGTGAACGCAGCTCTGTGCTGCTTCCACCAGTGAAAGTTAAAAGTCTGCCTGAGCTCGTTTAAACTGAAGATTTCAGAGAGAAAATACTTTATGTGTTACTTTTCTCTCGATGTCGTTTCAGATGAAGAAGCCGGTGTTGGAGGAAACGTCCGTCCTGACGAGCTGAGCGTCTCCTCCTGCCTCGACTCCTCGCTGCAGCTGAAACATATAAATCACATATTCAAGGAGCAAACTTTAAATAAGTCTTTTTAGTGAAATATTTACAGGTGAACAAACAAATGTCAGAGCTCACGTATGTCATCGTTGTTGTCATGTAGTGGTTGTTTCAAAGTTCTGTGAGTAGCTTCGTGGTCAAGTGAAAATTTACTTTTTATCCAAGTTTAAATAGGAAATAACTTTATTAACAGGTCGATGATTCAAACGTCTTCCTCCGAGGTTTCAGCCATCACGTCAGTAACATCAGGGGAATCTTATATGTGCAGCTCAAACTATGCAACCATCTCTGGCCTGAATGTGATAAATATAAACAGAGAGAAGCTGGTTCACTGCTCACAGCTACTCCAGTCTTTCACCTGTTCAATGTGTTTGGTTAGATTCATTTTTCTATGTAGGATTTTGATGTATTTTCTTTACCTTTGTTTTTATTTTGTTTGAAGTTTTCATTAAATCTGCAGCCACGTGTCCAACAGACCGAGTCCGTGTGTTCAAGCTGCAAACACCGGAAATAAAAAAGTTTGCTGCAACAAGCAGACTCAGGTAACACTTCTGACCGACTGCGAGGTGTGGCCTGTGAACGCATCACGCCACTCTCCACTCTTACGTAATTCAAACACAACAGAGCAGAACTGACATAAACGGGCTGTGGCCACACCGCAGCACAGAGGACAGGAAGTCACAAGTTGTGACGCAATAACAATAAAAATATGTTCACTTAATATTTACAATAAATGTTAAAGCAGCTAGTTTCTCTCTGCATCACAGCTCAGTGTGCAAAGCAGCGCTCGTGCGCTTTGACATTTAGAAAAACTCATCTTCAAGATGAAGATCGTAAAGTTTTTCCGGTGTTATTCTTTATTCTTTTTATTACTCACCTACGAGGTGTTTGAGGCATGTCCGGATTTCTGATTTCTACCCACAGGAGAGGTCGTAGGGCTTTGGTGCTTTGTGGATCAGGCAGCGGTCTGAATCTGGCCAGTGTTGATTTCTATTTAGAATTTTTTAACTCTTTTATAAACAAACAGTTTCAGTTACCTGCAGCCCAGCTGCAGTAGAAACCTCCAACATCTGGCTGCTATAGAAACATAAAAAACTTGTCAGGTGGTAGATGATACAAGCTTGGAGAAGACACACACAACACCACCTGGAGGTGAGAGGGAGATTGTTTCTTTAGATTTTGTAAAACTTTATATATCTGTGTATGCACACATGTGAAGAATCAGTGACACCGGAAGCCTTAATTTACCTCCTGCGTCTCAGGATTTACTGATAAAAGTGAAGCAGGAGCATCAGCGGACATGGCCGGGGAGGATTCACCTTCCCTCTGATGAGGATGCTTCCTTGCTAGAATCCAAGCTTGTGTTTCCTCCCATGCCAGCAGAGGTCGTGTTCTGGCTGTTTCAGAGGCTGTGGCGGAGCTCAGGGTGGGTAAACGGTGACTGACCACCACACTGCACACAGAGGAAAGGTGACTGGAGAGCATTCAGCTTCCAGTAGGAAAACACCATCATGAAGAACGATCACAGTGAGAAGCACAGACACAGTGAACCTGAGGACTGTGGTTATTTTTATAATGTTTCATTAATGAGTCAAATGCAAGTCAGAGGAGCCCTTTGAATTCTTTGCATAAGCTTCACATACACACATTAACGGGCAGGAAGCTAAATGTCAGCATTATTCTTCTGTATCACGAATGCATAATTAAAATGTGTCATATGGCAACTAAAACCCACCTTTGCGCATGCGTGACAGCTGTAGGGAAGCAGCTGTAATTGTTTTGTGAGGCCATGATTGTAGTCCTTATAGGGAGGCGACTTTGTGGAGCAGGTGCGGCATTCAGGGGATCCGGGGAAGCTCAGACATTTCAGTGTTAGAATGTTTTTGTTTGTGTTTGTTTTTCCAGTATTAAAAAATTCAAATTTCTGGTCATTTAATGAGAAAATATAAGAAATGTAATTAAAGTAAAAACTATTATATAAAGACAAGACAAACAATATTAACTTTAAACCAATAAAATCTTTGTAAACTTGATTTTTGGATAAAAACACCAGAGTTTCAAACGGGTTTTTATCAGATTTGAATGATAAGCCCACACATGCATGTTTGAAGTCATTTAGGGTTTGGATCTTCGTTATATTTGAGCCACATGCTGAACAAACTGCAAATAAAGTATCGTACGTGTATTTTAGCACTCGCAGCTCTGCTGTCTTTTCTGTGTTTTCTGCTGCAGAGCACAGATTAATGTTTAATTTGAAAAAAGACTCAATGTTAAGCTTAACCAGGCTGACAGCAGCCTGGTGGATAACTTTATTCTTTGTTTGTTCTTTTGCATGTTACAGAGCCTGCACAAAATCACTGATCACACAACAGGGAAATGCCTTGTACCAGATTTAGCTCCTAGCTAATCTCCATCTGTAATCTCTTTGGCAGGTATGCACCATATTGACTAAGCTATAAAATACAAAAACACAGCCAAGATACAAGCTGTGGGAACAGTAATATAAATCAAACATGCATGCAAAAAAGGTTTTAAAAACCCAAAAACATTGTAAAATCATGTGTATATGTGACCGGTGTGTTCCTGCGTTGTTAGAATTAGAATTCAACTTTATTGTCATTGCACATGTTACAAGTACAAGGCAACGAAATGCAGTTTGCATCCATCCAGAAGGTGCTTTGGCAGTAATATAGATATATTACAAAATATGGATCTATAGGTATGTTACAATGTACACGGTATGAAGGTTTGTTATGTTGTGTCTGACAATGAAAGGTAAAAAGAAACAAAGACCTGCTCGCTCCAGCTCCTGTAACCAAATACAAACAGCAGGGAAGAGGGTTAGCTCCACCCACCACAACCTCCAAGCTAGCAAGAATTATCTATTCATGCTAGCACTGACTGTGCCTATAACACATATGTACTACACATTTACAGCATCTAGCAAAGACAGACACAGTGACGACAATAATAGAACTAAAAACACAATCAGAAACATCAGGGTGGCTAAATAGACTAATAGATATGTGTGTTGTATAGTGTTGGAAAAGAAAGGACACCAACCGCTCCCACAGGGGAATTGTAGGAAAGGGGAGAGGCCACAGCGGTACACAGTATTTATAGGGTTGCACCAAAGAAGAAGAAAAGGGTGAGGAGGGTCTCTAACTGAAGTTCAGCATAAACTCAAATCAGTCGTCTCTTTACATTAAACACAGTTATTTACAATAAGTACCATTAATAGACTGTAAACACAAAGTCTGAGCAAGTTTTGGTTCTCAGAACAGGCTTATTGAGTGTTTCATTAAATTTAAACAATGCATATTCAGTTATGTCATTTTGTGTCATTTGTTCTGGCTGTTTAATGAATGAATTAAAGTAATAAATGAACAAGAGTATTACATAAAATCAATGAAGGGTCTTTAACAAACGATTTGTAATCTTTGATATTGTTGAAAAAGATCTGACCTGCGATTGACCTCTGTTCTGTTTTTATTGTTATGGGTTTTATAAAGATGAAGATATCTCCTGAAAAACACCGACCTGGTGAATAGTTCAGGTTTTATTCTTTGTTTGTTCTTTTGCAAATCTGAATCTCATAATTATGTCTTGACTTTATTCTTAATAAGTAAGTAAATGTTATTTACATAATAAATTTAAATTAATGTACTTTATATTAAATAGAGAGAGAAAAACAGAATGTTTCTCAGGCTCCGTCTACACACACGCTGCTGGGCTATGCTGCAAATTTTGGTATTGATATGATACCAAATAAATACAGAGCCAGTATTGCTGATACCAGGACTGATTTATTTAACACAAATGAACACAATTCAGTGCATGAATGCTGAACTTAAAGGACAGAAACAAAAACCAGCATGGTATTGATACTTGCATTAAAAAACACACAACAACAAACTGTCCATGAGCCACAGTTTCAGAGATCAGCAGGTGGTAAATGTTTGACAAAACAGATGTTCAGCCTGTAACAAGCATGTTTCCCCACATCTTTGGGGAATGTTAGAGTTAGAACAAAGTGTGCAACTATTTGTTTGTCAAATTTAAAATTGGTTAAAAGTAGTTAGCAGCATTGGCTTGCAGCAAGAGGGTCCTGGGTTTGAGTTCACCAGGCTAACTGACTGGAAGGATGAATGTTCAACAACAACAACAACAACAGTCCCCCAACATAGATCCTTGTGGAACTCCAGATGTTATAACTGCAGATAGAGAGAAGTATTTCACAATTTAACTAGTATTTCATACCAAACCACTGATACACATCTATCCAAATAATCAGGGGGTAAATCATAAGCATTTCAACTTTACTGTCAGCATTTGGATTTTATTTAGACTGCATTATTAGTATTTCATCTGGAATAGTATTTTCACTTCATTTTGGAATATTCTGGAAAAAAAACCTTCCAATATTATTTTCACAGTGTCATTTATGACGTATTTCTTCAGTTACAGAAAAAAATGCCAGGCAGAGTTAAGTTAAAAATGTAAGTTATTATTTTAAAAGTTCAACTTTGAGTCGGTTAGTTGACATTTTGACTAACCTCTGTCTGGCATGTTTTTTTTCAGTGGCAGAAACAAACGTCCGTATTTCATAGCCCTCGTATTCTTTTATAATAAAGAGTGTATGCGTATTTCCGAGGGAGCCTGAAAGCAACTGCAGTCAGTGGCCGCGGCGCTGTGAGCTGATCTTTGTGCGAACGAAGCAGCGCAGCAGTCGTAGTTAGCAACCGACAGCAAACACACTCGGAGACGGCGGCGGGACACCGATTTTGGGACTGAAAAACAACTCATCCGGCGATTACAAAGTGACTGGGACTGCCTTAAAATGGTAAGGTGACATTTTAGAGCTGGGCCGGGGGAGATTTTTTCTCTCTCAGCTTGCTAAGCGGAGAGCCAGCAGGCTAATGCTAGGCGGTTAGCGAACTGTTTTCCTGACTCATTATTGAGAAGCTCGAGGAGCTAGGCTGCCATTTTACACCAGGCTGTTAGTCTGTCCTGGCCTCTGCCTTTGACTGTAAGAAGACAGCCTTTATGTTGAATACAGTCCCAGTACCACACATGTGTGTAAGCGATTGATAAGTGTGGGTCACATAGAGGCTGTGCTTTGATTTGAAGCTGGTCCATCCATCGTTCGGGCAGCAGACGAAGCTACCAGGCTAATCGAGCCTCAGAGGCTAATGGGAGCTAGCAGTATTGCGTAGCAGCGCCTGACTCCATTCTGGGGAATAATCACAGCGAATATTTTCCAAATTAACAGACACCGGGGATCATTATATTCCAAATATACCCAAGTATCCGTTGGGGGTAGGCTTTTTTCGAGCACAGCCCTGTGGACGGTGCGGTGCGGTTTGGTCCTTCGAACAGGACGCACTCCTGGAACAACTGGTGAAGCGGAGCAGCGATACGGTCGCTCATTTCCTGAGATATTAGGAGAAGCTCGAAGTCAGAGGTAGTGCTGACACTGAGCTGCCGGAGCGAAGCAGCTGTTGGAAAAGCTCTGTTTTCATACTAATCGAGATTCTTGGATCTACGTCCTCACAGTTCTCCTTAATTTAAATAGTGCACTTATTTTAGACACTGATCATTAAAACGAGATATTAAGAGTCGATGACAATTGTACCGGATTCTAACTCTTTAGTTTAGTTCACTTATTATTTCTTCCCTTTTATGGAGTCCTAGAATTTGTCAGGATCCAGGACAATATACAGTCTGAGTTACACGTCACTCCTTTGTGTGTTTGTGGAGTAATGGGAAATGTGTGCAGCGATTTATTCAAAATAAAATCTAAATAAGGCAAAATCCGAGTTTTACAAGTCTAAGGAGTTTGAATCATGTTATCTGAGCACTTTTTTAAAAAGTCCCCCAGGCTTCAGACATTCAGAGCTTTTCTTTGGATGTTTGTCTTTTGTTCTGGTCCGTCAACATGACCCCACAGTGCTTCAGTGTCTCTGTGGAGGTGAACCCACAGCTGAGTCGTCAAATGTCTGTTTTTCTATCATATATGTCTTTGCTACATGGACAGTGTGTGTGGGCTCATTGCATTCATGAGTAACTGTGGGATTGCATGGTAGTAACCTAAACGTCTCTGTTTATAATTCTGACCATTGATGCACCAGTGGATGAAGTCCATCCTGAGAGCTTGACGGAGCCCCCAGTGGCTGTGGACACTCACTGTTGTGCCGCTCGCCTCACCTCAGTACATGTTGGCAAACAGAAATTTTAAATTTGGATTGATCCATTTCTTTCTTTCTTTGAGGGCTCACTGTACAACATGTCAAGAAATGCCAAGATTTTGGCAAATAGTGCAAGGGATGTCTTCTGCATTCTTTAAATTAAATATATTCAGCTAAACAAATCAGAAAAAGTGATGCTTTTTTCCTTTTCCTTGCTTGTTTTGTTCCTCAGGGAGAAAAACATAAAGAAGTGAGGGCATTGCTGTATAAATATTTGTTTAAATGAAGCACTGTATGGCACTTTTTCCCCCCCACAATGGCATGAAGTGTTTAAATATGTGTTTTAAGGTGTCGAAATAGACTCAAGTTATGGTAAAGTCCCAGTTTTAAACTTTGTTCCATAAATCTGCGTCTTCGGCAGTATATAATTGTGAAATAATTGACTCAGTTTGACTAAAATTGTGTAATCAGAATCACCGTATTACCTGTGCTTTCTCCTCCTTTGAGTTTGTCTTTATATTGATTTTAAAGATGTTTCTTCCCTGGGTTTATGGCCTGCTAGTTTTCTTTATCAGGGCTTTTATTTTGAAGAATAGTGTTAATTATTGTATTTTGATGTACAGTTTGTCCTCATAAGTGAGGCGTCACCTAATCTTATTAAAAAAGAAAACAGATTATTAGACCAACAGGTGACAAAAGGCCTTTATTATAGTGGACTAAAGACATTAAAGCTTTTTACCATCTTCAGAGTCTAAACAGAGCAGTTATATTTACACTTTTGTTGAACCTGTTACTGTCCTGATGATTTTACTGACCCTTTTGCTCAAATGCAAAAGCTTAAAGCTGAAATGTGTCTAGTAGTAGTAGTAATAGTTCAGGTCATCTTGTTTCTAACACTGTTTGTTCAGCACGTGGAGGTTCAACAAAACTCGACGGCCTGAGTTTAAAAATGACGTCGAGCTCACTGATTGGCCGGCTCCTTGCAGTTGAGTTCACCTGTGAATCAAACCTCTTTTTTTTTTTTTCAACCGGTATCAGCCGGTTTACCATTAAATGAAGTGTTTGAGGTACTGAAATAAGGAAATGTTTATTAGAGTTGTGAAAAATAGCGCGAGAAGACGAAGAGTTTGTTTCACATTTGTGACTGACTGTAGATCTGCATGAACTGTAAACCGGAGCAGGGCTCACTTTTATAAGAGCAGCCTGAAAAGTCTTGTTACATCGCTGAAGATGGTGCTAAAGTTTAATTCTGTAAGTTTGTGTTGAATCTAAGAGCTATGGCCTCGCCTCTGCAAGTGCCTGACGACGATGTCAGCATTTATTCACTTGTGTCCTGCTCTGCAGTTTTGATGGCGGTGGGCTTTTTCTCTCTGAGCTGATCCATCGGTCTCTCAGAGACGTGGCGTGGGCTTTCAGAAGGGTTCAAATGAACGCAGACGTACATTAAAGAACGAGGTTTGACTTGAAACCGATCGCAATCTAAACCTTTACAGCAGGTGTTACCTGATCAGCAAGCTTGAACGTGAAGTTCAGTGTTTTTCTTCCTCAGCTGTTCCCATCCACTGCTGTTTGTTTTACAGTGACAAAGCTGTGGGATTGGAAAGGAAGATGAAATGAAATCTGCCCGTAAACACAGACGTCTTGTTTGGCTTCCATCTGTAAATTTGGCAGATTTCCCCCCAAAACACACCAGGTGTGTGTCTTTGGTGTCGTGACTGATGCCGTTTTGTTCCAGCTTTGTAATCATGTTCCAGCTGTTTCAGAAGAACTTAGTCTGCTTGGGGTCTTTTATTTTGAAAATTGAGCTCGTTCTCTCTGCTGATTCTGCGTCTGACTTCCTGTCCTCTTCATCGACTCCGTGGAGCTCGACACAGATAAAAGAAACAATAAACTGGGCTCAGTTTTAAGCAACGTGAAGCCTCGGCTCTGTATTTCTAGCGAGTGTAAAAGGTGCACAAGGTGCTAAACGACATTTATCTTAAAGCTTTAGTAGCTAATTAGTTTTTATTTATATTAGTCATCAAAATCTACTAATATGCTGTGTTTTGTAGATGGAGCCAGCTAAGAGTATATGGTGTAATGGAACATGTTCTGGAAATATGGAAAATGTAATGCTGGACACTGATGAATAACTTAACAAGTGCTGAATATTGATGCTGACCTTGACCTGCAGACCTGCTGTTACAGGCTGTGCTGAGAGTGAACACACAGGAAGAACTCAGCATAAAAGGTGTATTGTAGGTCGTAGGTTTGTATAGTAACCACGATGAAATCGCTGCAGACCCATCCTTCCTCACTTGCGTGGTTATTTGGTGGATTTGCCACAGGGCAAAACACAACAAAGAAAATGCTCAGTCATATTTTGAGCTCCGTCAGCCTCTTTATAGCTTGAAATAACCCCAAAACACAGCCTGTGTGCCTTCCTCCTGACACGTTTATCGATGCTGTGGAGCTGTTTGTGGCACTTGGATATCCCTCGATCGGTGGCTTTCAGACTTATGTTGCTTTTCCGTGTGTAACATGATGGGAAATATGCATGTAAATTTATTTATTTATTTCTTCTGGCTGCCCTCTGCTCCTCATGATGGGCTCTTTCACAACAGCTCGCTGCCTCATGCTGAGTTCAGATGTCTCATCCTTTCTCTGCTCAGCATGGATGCCTGAAATCTGCCTGTTAAAGCAGCGTAAAGATGACTCGTGATCTCTGTGGACATGACGCGGTTTGTAAACAGGACGCTGTCATTAGGAATACTTGGAAATCGCTAATAAAGAGATTTAAAGGTGGGAAAGGGAAAACGTGCACTTATTTCTGATGTTTGGTTAAATTTACTGAACCTACTATTTGTGATGTTCACATTAATATCAGTGTTGGAGATTTACAGCATGTGAACATACACAGATATGAGTGTACCAGCCTGATATCAGTGTTTTTCCACACACTTCAAAGGATATTAATATAAAGTTTCATGAGCTCAAACTGAGAGGAGCTGACATCAGTGAACTGAGCACAGATTTAATAAAGGCCATAATCAGTCTGATTAGGTTGGTGTCAGCGTAGAAGCTGATCCAGGCTGTGCATCGGTGCAGAGAGCACAAAGGAACAAATGTTTCCATTATTGGCTGATGTGCTGATTATTTCCTAAATTAGTCTGATTCATAATGTCTGTAAAATGTCCTTGATGATAATAATAACCAGAAGAGATGGAAACACTTTTTGTCTATAATAAACCTCACACTGCATCACTGACAGGAATCGGTGATAGTTTCTGTCCAGGTCTGTGACACAGTTCAGTCAGTGTCACCAAACTATATATAGATCTGTACAGATGGCGTTATCTTTGTGCCACTATTCTGAGCGCACG